GAGGAAAACCCCACATGATTCAGCAAAGATCCCACAGGCCACACCTAAGACCCAACATGGCTAAGGACAGCTTCTGGAAATTCAACAGTATTTTCTAAGGTTGGAGGAAGTACAACTAAAAGAGGTACTTTCTAAAAGAAGTAAGGACACATTATATCAGGCTATGAAAAGTGCTATAAAATAAAGGCAGCAGAAAAAAAGGTGGGTAGACATGAGAAGGGTGCTATTTCATTGAAAGTGGTCTGAGCAGACCGCTGAGCACAGTGAGATGGCAAGGACATGCAGACACCTGAGTAAAGGCTGTGCTGGGCAGAGGAACCACATGTGCAAAGGCCCTGAGGCAGGCAGGTGAGGAGTGTGTTGTGGAGCAGCAGGGGACCAGTAGAGCTGAAGCAGAGTGAGGGAGGAGAACAGGCATCAGAGATGAGGTCTGGGGCCAGGGGCGGTGGTGGGGGGAGTGGAATCCGATCACACGTGTGGCTTTGACACGCTAAGACTTGCTTTTACTCTGAGAGGCGAAGCCATTGAAGGGTTTCAGCAAAGGTGAGCTACAAGGTGACTTTTAAACAAATGAGCCTGGCTGCTCTGTGGATAGATTCTAGGGGTCAAGGGGGAACTGATGAGACCTACTCCACCTTCCTTACCTTTCAAAACAGAAACCCACCTTCTGCTTTTAAGCAGCTCACTTCTACCTCCTGCTGGAAGAGAAAACTGAAGGGCCAGCAGCGACAAAGCATTCCAGAGACAATCCACAGGGCAGTAAAACTGGATGCAAAGCAAATATACTCCAATAAAAATTAATTTAATAAAAAACCGAACATGAGTTTTGCCCTGAAGAATCTTTTATTTTGAAAAATTTCTCTGCATTATAGGAGCTCTCCACCATACTTGTGCTGAATCTTGTTTGTCTGGTGTGTCTCCTCAAACCAGAAGTTGTAAATAGCAGAAATCACATCTTGTCCTTGCTGGGAAATTCAAAACAAAAATGGGAAGTTAGTAAATAAATTGCTTGAAACAAAAGAGAAAAAGAGGAGAAAGAGAAAACATTAAGCAATCATTTAACCTGGGGTAGAGAAAGTCAAAGGGAAATTTAAATTGATTTTTCAGTATGATGATTTTTTTAAAAGCATGGCTCTTGCTCTCTTCTGCACAGAATTTCAGGGCGTCCAGCTGGACGTAAAGCAGAGGCTGTGATGGTAATAAGAAATAAGGTGACCATGAAATATCGTGTGAGTTATCTAAGGAGATTTAGGAACAGCGATTCAGTCTCTGGCATAAAGCAGATGCTCAACAAATATTGAAGAAATGACTATCACTATGGGGGAGATAGAAGACAAGGGAATGACAGCAAAGAATATTTCCTCCTGGTGAACAAGACTGGGGAAGGAGGTGGAGCATCACAGGGCTTAGCCTGACAACCACATGGAAGGGCAGTGAGATACAGAAGTCGCTGTTCCCAGACAGGAGTCCAAAGCGTGTCCTGGGCCTAAAGGCCACCCCCTGAAGGCAGGTGCCCCAGAGTTCCCTCTGTCTCTTTCAGACCTGCTGTCTCAGACAAGCCTCGCTCTGAGCTTGCCAAGTCTTGGAACACAAAGCCAAAGCCCCACACAGATCAGATGATGGGCCAAGCCCACCCTCCAGGCCTGGCCTGGGCCTTGCTCTCCAGCCTTCCTCCCACCACTCCCGGTTCCTAACCCAGCGTGATGCCAAGCTACGGTGGGTTCTCATACATGCTGCATGGTGCCTCGCTCCCCTGCCTCTACTCTGGTATTCTTACCGCCTAGAGCACCCTACCTCCCTGACCCCTTGCCCCAACTCCAAGGTCACAACCCCTTCACCTGATTGACTCCTTCTCAGGCTTCAAGATTTATCTCAGGGATCACCTCTTCCAGGAAGCCTCCCTTGATTCTCTTGGCAAAAATGAATGCTTCTGGGACTTCCCTGGGGATCCAGTGGTTGAGACTCTACACTCCCAATGCAAAGGGCCTGGGTTCAATCCCTAGTTGGGGAACTAGATCCCACATGCCACAACTGGGAGTCCACATGCCACAGCTAAGAGTTGTCAGGCCAAAATTAGGACCTGAAACAGCCAAATAATAAAATATTTCTTTTTAAAAACTGAATGCTTCTCCCCTGTGCTTTCAGAGCCTCGTTGTTTACATTTACCACTGCTCTTGCTCCCTGTAGCTCAAATGGTAAAGAATCTGCCTGCAATCCAGGAGACCCAGGTTCGAACCCTGGGTCAGGAAGATCCCCTGGAGACGGGAATGGCAACCCACTCCAATATTCCTGCCTGGAGAATTCCATGGACAGAGGAGCCTGACGGGCTACAGTTCATGGGGTCAAGAGAGTTGGACACAACTGAGTGACTAATACATACACCATTGCTCTTACCACTCTCTTGAAAGTATGGGAAGCCTGAACTTAACATGTCTGCCTCCCCAACAACCCCCATACTCATGAACCCACAGTCACATGAAAGTATGCCCTCCCCAAGGGAGAGAGCCCCACAGTGAAGCCTGTCCAGCTGAAGTCCTCAGACTGTGGATTTTCGGACAGAAAGCTCCCGGTCTGATGAGAGAAAGGCTCCAGGCCTTGAAACTGTGTGCAGGGAAGGGAGTGTGATCGGAAGGAGGCCCCAGGAGGCCTAAGGGAGGCCGAGCAGCAGGGTGAGCCAAGAGGGCGGAATGGCAGGAGACTTCCTAGAAGAAAGGGCTGCCTCTTAGAAAAGATTAGAGTCCTTCCCTCTGTCAATTCACCTACCTGTCCCCTTCCACCACCTCACCAACATCGGAGAAAGAGTCTACTGTTGAGTCCCGATCTTCAACACAGCAAAAATGGAGCAGGTGCACCTTTTTCTCTCGGCCCACCCTTCCCTTCGTCCTAGCACCTAATCCTGAGGGGCCACAAAGGGGGTCACAGTTCCCTCAGCCACCTCCCTGAGCAGCTCTTTTATGTTAAACATCAGTCTTCTTAAATAAATTTTAAAAACATACCTGTGTAGCTGCTTGCCTACAAATACAAACATGTTTATGCTAAGATACACACGTACATATCTCCTCTATGATCTAACTTTGCAAGTCGTTAAATTCAACTGAGGAGGCCCTGAGAGGCCGCGCGGTGACACTCCTGTGCTCCTGCCCGCTCAGAGCACAGGAAAGACATTAATCCGCCACGCTTCTGGGTTTCAGCTCATTGTGTGTTTCAGCTCTGGTTGGCTCATTGTGACCTGAAGCTTCCTGGTGGGTGAACTTGAGAAGCCCTTCTCCTACTTCCAATCCTTGACTCCTCCTTCCACCCCAGAAGCTCGGGGAAAAGGCCTATTCAGCATCCTCCCAGGGGAGGGGTGCAGTGATGGGAAGAAGTCCAAGACTTCCTGCTCTGCCCACGGGGTGAGCCCCGGGACAATGCAGAGATTAACTTGAGAGGGAGCAGCCAGCCAGCCCAGGGAGCGGCTGCTTCTGGCAGGAGGCACCCGCCAGGGAGCACAAGCCCCTTCACTGCTCTGCCCTGCTATCCTAAGCCTGCCTGTGAGTAGAGACCGGCCTGGGCAAACCATGTGCCCTCCGTCTGCACACAGTAAGGGCCCGTGGGAGGCACCATGTGGAACGATTGGGGTCTGCAGACACTCCCTGGCAATAGAGGGTGGGAGGCCCTAATTGACAGTGGGTGGTGGGGGTGGGGGAATGCAATCTGCAAACACAGCAAGAGGGATACAGGTCAGACCACACAAGGGAACTTCTGCTGAAGAAGGGAAGATGGTAATGCTCCAGGTATCATGGAATCGGTCCAGAAACAGAGGGTCCACAGAGGCAATATACCCAGACCCCCACCTCCGATTGTCCAACCGGAACCTCCAGGGCTGGCCCCAGTCAGGCATCGTCTACTGCCCCCACTCTCCCAGCACACAGGGGCAGCCATTCAGATCACCCTGCCAGAGTCACCTGAGGACAGGGGCAAGTGGGCTCGGCATGAGAGCTCTATTAGAGCAACATGCTTTCCCTGCTCCATCCAACAACTGTGACCTTGTGGATTGTGCCAACAAGTTCCAGAAAGCCTTGCTGACCTGGAGGGAGAGCCAGTGCCTGGAGTTCCATGAAGACAGGGAGGCCTTGCTAGATGCTGAACATAAACTCTCCATAAGCGCCATAACCTCTTGTTCTGTACTCAGTGGAGACCCCTGACTATCTGACCCCATACCTGCCCTATGCCCCACGCCTCAACACTTGCACCCCTTCCTGCCAGATGCCTGGGTCTCAGCACTGAGATGACACTGCCCTGCTTGCCTGCAATGAGCGGTCTCTGTACAACTATTGGCTGTTTTGAGTCTGTGCTCCTATTCTGTAGGTGGCCTTCAGGCTCCACACACCGCACTTTTCTCCCAATAATCTGGGCAATTTAAGAGAAGAGATCTGAGATATTAGCAGATGACCTTAATAGGGACAGACAGATCCCTTGGGCCCTGGCCTCTTTCCCTTTCACCAGAATTCTGGGGACTTCTCCCAAGGAACAACACAACTGCTCAAAGATGAATGACAAAGGCGTTTTATTGAAGATTCACCCGAAGATGGCTAAAGGGAAGGAGAAGAGTGGACAGGGTATTCAGGGGTTCTTGTCCCGACCTTGCAGGGTCGGTTGCTGCCAGTGATGGAGAAGGAGTTTGGTCCTGATGTAGAGGGAGATGCAGGATCTGGTAGGAGGCAGCGTTGGGCTGGGAGGGGACACATGACCCTGATAATCCTGGAGATAAGCACCTGGTTGGATTCTCCTCTGTCCATGGGAGGTAAAGAGTCAGTCGACACCTCTCCCATTCCAGCTGGATCACAAGCCCAAATCAGGAAGAAGCTACCAAACTCTAAGAGAGCAGAGTCCACGTCCTGGCACTGAGGTGACACTGGTAAGACGAGCCCCAGGAAAGGAGAGTGGAGGTGGGGTGAAGGAAGCAGAGACACCAGGGCTGGGCAGGCTGGCCGCAGAGGGCTGCAGGGCCCCCATCTCCTTTATCGGAAGGATTTCTTGGTCAGGGTGGTGGTAGAGATGATCTTGCCGCTGGAACTGCCACCGATGCCACCGCCGAATCCAAAGCCACCTCCGGAGCCAGAGCCCAGGCCAAATCCAGAGCTGCCTCCTAACCCTCCACTGAGCCCTCCTGCACTGGCAGCGCCACCAACCACAGCTGCGGGAAAAAGGCAAGGACAAGGTTACTCCAACAGCACTGGTACCGGGAATCTCACCCCAAACCTGGGCAAACAAATGGCCACAGCAGGGAGCAGACAATACTTACAGATGCTCACAGCACTCTGGCATTCTCCAGACATTCTGTGGGGGAGAGAAAGAGCAGTGAACCTCAGCAAGCCCGGAGCCACGCTTCGTTCAACAAGCCGGTGGCAAGCACTCTCCCCCTTGTTAAGCAGTCGAATTGAGGCCTGAACGTGAGCCTGTCGTGTAACAGCATCCCAGTTCGCAACACACCAGCACTGAAGCAAGTGGTACAGCAGAGGCGCCCTGGGCTGGCCATGGCTCTGGACCCTCTCCATTTCCCGTTTCCACCCTGCCTTCCCCACTCACCGGCACTCCTCGCCCTCCAGCAGCTTGCGGTAGGTGGCGATCTCGATGTCCAGGGCCAGCTTGACGCTCAGGAGCTCCTGGTACTCTCGCAGCACACGGGCCAGCTCCTCCTTGGCCTTCTGCAGGGCGGCCTCTAGCTCTGTGCGCTTGCTGTAGGCATCTTTTAGGGCCACCTCCCCACGCTGCTCTGCATCGGCCACAGATCCCTGCAGAGTCTGGCACTGAAGATGACGGCACAGGACAGGCATCAATCATTAGGGGCCTGTTGTCAAGACCTCGAAATCTGTCCCCTCTCCTGTAGCCACTTTACTTGGCTTAGGATGTTAGGGTTCTGTCTGTCCTTCTCCCCACCTTCCCTGACTCATGATTTTATTCACCCCTTCTAGAGTCCACCAATGCCCCCACCAGACTGATTCAACAAAAATGAAAAAAAAACAATGAAAAAGAGCCAAGAAATCTTATTTACTGAGGTGTCATATCATGTTAACTAGGTTACTGCTGAAAAGATTTGGGTATGACTTGTTCGTTTTCAGTAACTAAGTCGTGTGCTACTTTGCCACCCCATGGACTATAGCCCACCAGCTTTTCTGTCCATAGCATTTCCCAGGCAAGAATACTGGAGTGGGTTGCCATTTCCTTATGCAAAGAGCTACAAATCCCCTGCAGACCAGCTCAAGATCTTCCAGCCTGATGCCTTGTCTGTTTGTTTACTCTGGAGACATGTCTTAGGCCCCTGGCCGTGTAGTGAGACTCTTGGGTAGAGGTGACACCTACCTGCTTCTTGACGTTCTCGATCTCAGCCCGCAGCCTCTGGATCAACCTGTTAAGCTCTGAAATCTCATTCTTGGTGTTCTTCAGGCTGTCTCCATGTTGGTCCACTGAGTTCTGAAGCTGCTGGACCTGAGACCCAGGGAAACAAGGGTCAGGGCTGTTTGGATGGGGTCTATCCTCCAATGAACTCAGCAAGAATAGCCACAGGTGGCAGGGGTAATACAAAAGGTCATGTAATCTCCAGGCGGACCAGGATCAGTGACACCCAGAAGAATCAGTTTACCTCTGACTTCTCTTGGGCTCGAGCTGATGATGGCTTGCTCACAAACATCAAAAGCAGAGCCCCAGAAGCCACCCTCAACTCCAGAGAGAACTCCAGTACTCACCTTGGTCTGGTACAGGGCCTCGGCCTCGGCCTTGCTCCTCTGGGCAATCTCCTCATACTGGGCCCGGACCTCAGCGATGATGCTGTCCAGATCCAGGTTGCGGTTGTTGTCCATGGAGAGGACCACAGATGTGTCGCTGACCTGGGTCTGCATCTGGGACAGCTCCTGCAGGGAAAATGTCTCCTATGAGGCCTACTGAAGGGTCTTCCCTAATCTCTGACACTAGAGGCCCACCATCATCATGGAAATGGCCCTGCCACGGGCTCAGATGGGAGCCGACTTGGCATTCCCAAAGTGTACAGAAGAGGAGGAGGGGTAAATTTCTATGCAGAAATCAAGTGGTTGGTGACATCTCAGGACAGAAGAGCAATGCCTCTAGTCTTCCCTGCTCCCTGGGGACCACAAGTCACTCCAGGTCAGGGGGCTCAAGTATGTTGGCATGGAAGGGAAGATAATGATCTATCTCACTGGAGAAATGCTAAATGACTCACTTCTATCCCACGCAAACTTTAGATCTAATCATCTAAGACAACCTCTGGTTTAGAGAACCTCTCGGTTTCAGTTGAATCTCTCACTTCAATCCTTTCTATCCATGACCTTGCTGAGAACCCATGGCCCTGAAGTAAGGAAGTGGGAGTCCTTTCAAAGGACTGTCAATTCCAACCAGCAGCCTCACAGGTGGGGCTTTCCCTGAATGGAGAGGGTTGGAGATGGAATCCTCACCGCAGCATAGAGGACCCTCAGGAAGTTGATCTCATCGTTGAGGGCATCCACCTTGGCCTCCAGCTCCACCTTGTTCATGTAGGCAGCATCCACATCCTGCAGAGGAGAAGGGAGGATGAGAGACAATGTACAAGCCTTCCAACGAGGGGCAGGGGCATCGTGTGATACACAAAGGTCGCACCAGGTGAGGTGTGAGGGCCTCACCTTATTTGGCCTGTTCTGCCCCTAAAGCCACCTGCAGACATGGAAGTTAATTATCCACATGGGCTTTTTTCACAGCCTTAATTCCTAGTTCAGTGAGATCTGGATAGTACCAAGGAAGGGTGGGGTTGGGGGGAGAAGGTCAGGATGAACCAAACCCATGATTCAAGCCAAAGACCACTCCTGAGGGAACTGGGAGTACATCCCTACCCTCCTTCAACCCTCACCTTCTTGAGGACCACAAAGTCATTTTCAGCAGCTGTGCGTTTGTTGATTTCATCTTCATATCTGGGAGTGGAAAGATGAGAAAGAAAAGACAATAGGTCCACAGGGAGCTAGTGTTTCTCACTCTTTCCTGCTGGTTTCCCAACATCTATTTGAAAAACTCCATCTAATTGGCTACATTTTTCCATGTTCATGCAGATATTAATTTCATTTACATTTGCTGAGTAATGAATTGTTTGAGATACCAGTCTAGATCCTAGTTTATTCAGAGGAGTGAAACCAAATTTTAAAAAGACTGTTTGCAAGAGAAAAGATGTAAGGAGGAGAACAAGCATGATCTGGTTGATATTATTTGAATAGAAGAGCTGTTCTTTGGCCATTAGGTGGACTAAATTCTTAGGAGAGTTGCCAATGCTCCAGTTGTTCTTCTTTGGTATGAGAGTGAATTGAGAGAGGGAGCTGGTATTTTTCTCAGTTTCATCCCATAATGGGCATACTGGTTAAGATTCTGCACTCCCTCTGCAGGGGGCATGGGTTTGATCCCAGATCAGGGAACTAAGATCCCACAGTCTGCACAGTGCTGCCAGTAAATAATAATAATAAAGATGAAGAAAACTAAGATTCAGAGAGGTTAAGCAAGTCAACCAAGATCACACAGCTTAGTAAGTGGAGGAATCAGTATGCCAAGCAGGTCCATCTCTCTTTACAGCCTGTGTTTTTCTCACCCTGCTGTGTTACTTTTCACCTGTTTGGTATATGCCAAGCCCAGCTCCCTGAATTTTCTTTTTGGGGCAACTTAGAGTAACTAGACATCATCCTATTTTAAAAAGTGACCAGGCAGATGCAGGAGAACAGACTGGAGGTCATCCCTGACTCTTCGGGGTCTCTTCTGAGCCTGGGATTCTAAATGACTGACGAGGAACCCCGGAGGCGGGGCACACTCAGATTTGCTGGATGGCATTCGCTCCCTACATACTTGGTCTTGTAGTCCTCCACACTGTCCTGCATGATCTTCAGCTCAGACTGCAGGCGTCCCTTGTCGTTGGCTAAGGTATCCACCTGCTTCCTCAGGGCATTGAGGTAGGCCTCAAAGAAGGGCTCGAGGTTTTTGACAGATGTGGTAGTCGTCTGCTGCTGGAGGAGTTTCCATTTGGTCTCTAGCACCTTGTTCTGCTGCTCTAAGAACCGCACCTGTATTTAACAAAGGCACCAACCGACAAATGAGAGCCTGAAACTCTGGCAGAAGAGCTGGGCACACCAACCCAGTCAATCCAAGCCATCCAGGCAGCCCAAGAGCCATCAGAGTAGGGCCACCGCCTTACAGCTTCAGGCACCATCTGCTGGAGTCAATTTGGCAGACCCCCCAAAAAAACAAAGAAGGCACGTGTGTTGGGAAGAACAGAGCAGAGCCCACGCATCGGGGCCTGACTGTGCAGCAAGAACAACTGGACCACAGGGGTCCAGGAAGAGTTGCTGAAAAGAACACTGAACTTCTATGAAATAATAAAACAAATTCAGGAAATACAACCACAGCCTAGGGGCTATTGCATTCAATGTGACCTCACCCAAGGCAAAGGAATGATAAACGCACTGAAGATGTTTTTAAACAAGCTTTCTTATAAATGGACCTCATGTGTCCCTGTGAACCTGTGAACAATGGAATATAAAATGTTTAAGATCAAGCCCTAGACATATTCTGAGTCTCATAGACTCAGTCCTGCAAGGGAACTTCCCTGAACCTTCCCTCTAGGAAGAGATCTAGCCAGATAAACCAAGGTGTAGCATGACATTTCCACCTTATGTGCCTCAGAATAGAAAAGAAAGCAGATAAGGGTGGCTGATCATAATTTGAACTTAAACTGATGATGGGAGAGAAGACAAGTAAGCACCCAACTATCAGTCTTACTTTTACACCTGTAGGTCATAGAGTCACTATGAAGCCCTTTTAAGCTACTAGGGATTTCTTCAAACTAGCAAGAACAAATATTGCCATTCAATCTATTCCAAGATCATTCATTCTTGCCCCATTCATCTAAGAGAACTAAGACCTCATTGCACAGAGAACCAGGGCAACCTGGGCCAAATGTGCTACACCCATCCATTCAGTCATTCATCTTTGGATTAATGACTCTCTGGAACTAATCTGTTTGCTATCATCCATCACACATAAACATAGCATACAGCGTAAAAGTCTTGAACCTCTAGACCTAGCATGGAGAAGGAAAGTAGACTACCAAAAAAAAAAGAAAGAAAAGGGAGAGATTCAGCCCACCTCCTCTTCAAAAAGACCCCAAAATGAACAATTTTGCCGAGAGTCAGGAGGATGAACGAAATGACCTTCTGAGGTCCTCATGGGACCTGGAATCTGCCCCTGGAATCAGTCCCTTTCTCATTTGAGAAAGCAGCCTGGTTTTCTTCTGCTCCAAATTCAGAAGTACTAGTAGTTAAGCAATCATATTAACTAGACTGAACTATTAAATTATTGACCATGTTATTTCTGAAACCCAAATCTAGAGAAAATGCAGAGAAACGATGAGCCCACTTTATAGCTGGGGTGACTGGGCCCAGAAAAGTTGAATGATTTGCCCAGAAGCACATAGCAACCCTAGGGAAATTCAAACATTGAACTGCTTTGAGCAGCCTATTTTCCCACCAGCCACAGGACAAAAGAGAAAGAGTAATGGTTCTCCTTAACCGGGTAGGAAACAGAGGCCCAGAGAAATTCACAGGTTTCCCAAGTCTGCAGCAGGCTTAGGTATGAGATGCTGGGACTCCGAAACCCTGGCTTCTACCACCTTATCTGACCAAGCGGCTGCTCACCTTGTCAATGAAGGAAGCAAACTTGTTGTTGAGGAGCTTGATCTGCTCACGCTCCTCAGTCCGGACCTTCTGGATCTCAGGGTCGATCTCCACATGGAGTGGGGTCAGCAGGCTCTGGTTGATGGTGACTTCCTGAATCCCTCCAGCAGGGCAGACCGGGAAGCCAGCACCACCTCGTCCACCGAAGGAGCCCCCGAATCCACCGCCAAAGCCGCCGGCACCAAAACCAGAGCCAAAACCTCCAGCAGCCCCAAAACCTCCAGCAGCCCCAAAGCCACCTGCAGCCCCAAAGCCAGCACCCTGCCGGCCCCCGGCCATGCTGATGGAGATGCTCTTGTTCCCTCCGAGGTTGTAGAGGCTTCTGCTGCCGAAGCCCCCAGAGGAGCAGCGGCCTGCACCCCCAGACATGGAGGCCGAGCTGAAAGCAGCCTTCTTGACCCCACCTACGATGGCCGAGCCACAGCTAAAGCCACGGGACCCGCCTCGGATGCCCTGCTGTCTGGCGATCATGACTGGAGAGAGGGGAGCAAGCTCAGAGTTGTCAGGGAGAAGCGAGAGGGGCCAGGTCACTGACTGCAGCAGCACCAGCCTGGGTCGCTTATATGTGCTGGAGAGCAGGGCTTGGTTGCAGGGGCATAAAGGGAAAAATCTGAAACATCTCTGGGCTTGGCCTTTGGCACTGGTCCATCCTTCTTGCATCTGCTGAACTTGTCACAAACACACCTACAAAAGTCATTCGGAGGGCACACTCTCTTCCCCGAGAAGCTGAACCAGTGTCCCAGGGCCTCCTGGGTCACAACCACCCCTCCACCCGACACTGCACTCTAATCTCACCAGCCTCCAGGGGCCTCCCTGCTCCAGACAAGACAACCGTCGCTCTGTCGCTCACTCCACAGAATTTGGAACCAGAGAGATTGACTTCAAATGCACACTTTGCGAACCTGCAGCTAGTCATTCTCTGGTGCTCAGTTGCTTCACCCATAAATTGGAAATAATACAAATATTTGCCTGCACCTTCTGTCAAGATCCTGAGATTACAAGGAGTGAGGGCTTTGTGACCTGTCAGAGACTGCCCGTATATTTGTCACTAACATTACTATACCTCTGTGTGCACTTGGCCCCAAAAAGGGAGTCCCCGGTGTCTCAGATGGTAAAGAGTTTGCCTGCAATGCAGGAGACCCAGGATCAACCCCTGGGTCAGGAAGATCCCCTGGAGGAGGGCATGGAAATACACTCCAGTATTCTCACCTGGAGAATCCCATGGACAGAGAAGCCTGGTGGGCTACAGTCCATGGGGTCACACAGAGTCAGACACAACTAAGCAACTAACACACACACACATACATACACACACACACATACACACATATATACAAAAGGGGAAATCCATAGTCCAGCCTTCTAGACTTCCAGGACTGTAGATCAGGACTCAGCTTGGGACTTCCTTGGTGGTACAGTGGTTAAGAATCCACCTGCCAATGCATGGGACATGGGTTTGATCCCTGGTCCAGGGAGATTCCTCATGCCACCGGACTACAAGCCTGGGCATCACAATTACTGAGCCCGTGCTCTCGAGTCCACGCACTGAAACTACTGAAGTGAACATGCCCTAGAGCCCATGCTCTGCAACAAGAGAAGCCACTGCAATGAGAAGCCTGTGCACCCCAACAAAGACCCAGGGCAGCCAAAAATAAATAGTATTTTAAAAGACTCAGCTTTGACTCCATACACGTTATTGAAAACCTACTATCTGCCATGCATGGATCTGGAGGCAAAAATACAGGCGACTCTGCCTTGGGCTCTCAGGACTTACATTCCTTCTTGGGACTCCAGCCTGCATTTACCAGATTCTAGGTCAGCATTCTCCAGGCTGGGTCCTGACTGTGTGTGCCACGCCACTCCATTTGCTGCCCAGTTGTTTGCTTGGCTCACCCAGACAGGCCATGTTCTGTTTTCCCGTAACAGTCTCAGCATTCGGGGCAGGAGCTGGAACAATGGAGTGATGGGGAATCCCTTTGGCAGAATAATGAAATCTCTGAGCCCCTTCTCAGAGCAATGTTTTCAGATACAATACCTTAGTTTTAAGCTCGAACTTAAAGTCTTTCCCACTGAGTGCAATGGATCTGTGTTCAAATCCCACCTGGTGCTACTAACTGGCTGTGCAATCTTGGGCAGGTCACCTAACCTCTCAGAACCCATTGATCATAGATGATCTCATAGATCATGAAATGATGTACCTACAGCGTCTAGTACACAGTAGGTCAGGAGAAAATTCATTCTTACCTCCTGCCCAGGCTTCAGTGTTGCCACTTTTGAGGAGAAATCAGATGAATCTTCATCTCTCCTCTCAATCTCTAATGAGACTGCTATCCCGAAACTGGGGAATGGCAGTGAAGAGGGTATGCATGATTCCCACAGGCCCAAGCTGACCCTGACCAAATGAAAGCTGACCACTGCAAAAACGAGCAGCCCTAGACTTCTCTGGAGGTCCAGAGGCTAAGAATCTGCCTGCCAGTGCAGAGGACAAGGGTTCGATCCCTGGTCCAAGACAATCCCACGTGCCACAGAGCAACTCAGCCTATGCGCCACAACTACTGAGCCTGTGCTCTAGAGCCTAGGCTCCACAACAAGAGAAGCCACCGCAATGAGAAACCCTCACACTGCAACAAAGAGTAGCCCCCACTTGCTGCAACTAGAGAAAGCCCTCACAGGAACGCAGACCCGGTGCAGCCAAAAATAATTAAAAAAAAAAAAAATGAGCAGCCCCTTCTATGCAAAGAGACTGAGGAGGCCCGTGGGATGCGAAGGTGCTGCATGGATCCAGGTCATGGGAACCAGGCTTCAGGAAGACTAGACTGGCTGGGAGCTCTCTCCTCCAGCCAGCTCCTCTCTCCCCACCCCCACCCTCATCGCCTCTCCCTGTCCTCCCTTTTCTCATCCACACCTCAGCCTCTGTCCCCATCTACCTCTGCCTTTGCTGGGCTCTCTATGCACCTGCCCAGAAGGCCTCAAAGTAAATGAGTGGATGGAAGGGTTATGGCAGGGAGGATAGGAGACACCCCACCTCCACCGGGGCTCCATCAAAGGTCCGCTGGAGAAAGACCGAGCCATGGTCCATCCATCTATAGTAGGTGAGCACTCTAGAGCCAGGACCATCTCCTGTGAGGGTCAAGGTTGGACATCCTTTCACCCTCTCAATGAGTATTTATGGAGTGCCAGCTTTGTGCCAGGCTCTGCGTTGACTGCTTTATATACATGTGATCACGTACCCTTCCTAGAAACTGTAATCAGCATCACAACTGTGCTTACAAATGATGACTTGGAAGACCCTGGGGAGAAGAAGTAGCCCCCAGGGTCACACAGTGGTGGAGCTACGACCCCAAATGACATCAGTCTATTCCCAAAGGCTCTGCCCTCCCTGGCCTCTCACCCATACTATCCTGCCTGATATAAAATCAGTTTGTCTAATTTGTGCCACAGTCAGTCCAGAATTGGGCACCTGAGCAAACCTTGAACCAACAGTTCAGGTCAAGGGGGCTCTGCTGCTGCTGCTAAGTCACTTCAGTCGTGTGCGACTCTGTGCGACCCCATAGACTGAAACCCACCAGGCTCCCCAGTCCCTGGGATTCTGCAGGCAAAAACACTGGAGTGGGTTGCCATTTCCTTCTCCAATGCGTGAAAGTGAAGCTGCTCAGTCGTGTCCAGCTCTTAGTGACACCATGGACTGCAGCCTACCAGGCTCCTCCATCCATGGGACTTTCCAGGCAAGAGTACTGGAGTGGGTTGCCATTGCCTTCTCTGATGGGGCTCTGAGGGTGCAAGTATCCCAGGGTTTACCAATTTCCACCCTAGTGGGCATGGCTGAGGCTGTAACTGAAGGAGCAGGGAACACCTGGAGCCACCCTCTAGGGAAGCCGAGGTCTGATTGTCTGCTTTTCTGCCCCAAGGGCGGGAAGGGGCAGTACCCAGGGCTCACACCCCTCACCTGCCTCATCTCCCACTCATGGTTCCATCTTCCTGGCTGCCTCTAGGGGTTGATGAGGACTTTTGTAGGCTAGGAGCAGGGTTTTCCTCCCCAGAGATGTATCCCCATGGTCTCTTGTGATGTGCCCATTGTGTCTTATAGTCTATAGCTCTGACACCCCAATACAAGAAAATTCTGTGTCCTTAAGGTATGTGTCTAAAATAGAAAGCCAACAGAAGTGGAAGGGACTTTAAGGGAAATAATCTATAATATATAATCAATCTTATTTTGTGCCCGTGAGACACCCAAACCATGGATCCTCAATGGAGGTACTTCTTGTCATGCAAACCCTAAGTTGAGGCAGAGATCATCCCTCAAACAGAAAGATGAGGGAAAGGCTGCCTGGCTTTCCAGGTAGCAGTTACTCTCCCAGAGAACTGCCATCATGCGCTGGACACTGAGTGCTTTTCTTGTAAGAATTCCCTTCATCACAACAACCCGGCAAAAGGGGGTCGCCAGGCTGTTTAGAGCCACAGACAACCAAGGTTGAGAGAAGTTATATAATCTGACTAAGATCACACAGCTAGGAAGTGATGGAGGTAGGTGGCCATTCCTGTCCATCTAACTTCAAAGCTTGTGAACTTGATCTCTACACCCCAATGGTTTATATCAGAAACTGCAGGAAAAACAATTATACGGTAACTTTGACCCATAGCTTGTGGTCCACCAGAGCAGCCACAGGGTCTCGGCCAGCACGCTAAGTGTTCTGTCCTTGCTTTTTTTTTTTTTTTAATATGGAACACTTCATGAATTTGTGTGTCATCCTTGCACAGGGGCCAGGCTAATTTTCTCTGTATCGTTCCAATTTTAGTATATGTGGTGCCGAAGCGAGCACTGTCCTTGCTTTTGCCAAGGAATGTTGATTGGATCATGTGGTCCTGTCCTTACAACTACCCAATAAGATAGGACCCTGTCGTAGGGGGGCCAATTCTGTGTCCTCCAACTAAGTCCAAATTAGCTAAATGACAAATCCTACAATAAACCCAAACCAAACAGAAAAAAAGTTCTAGACTAGAGCCCTATTCTGTGGCTCATTATAAAGTCAGAATTCCCAGAAGTTCACAAAATTCTCAGACTATAGCCTGAAAAACTCAAGGCAGCATGCCCTCAATGTACAAGAGAGTCCTTTCCCCCAAGGGAGAAAGGCAAAGAAGAGTTTCCATCCATGAAAAAGGGAAGGATGCCTCCTGCAGCCCTGGGCCAGAGGCAGGAAACGAGACCAGATGACTCTACGTGGCAGCAACAGCTAAAATCCGGTTCCCTGCCCCACCTCCACCCTTCCACTCTTGTCCTTGTGACACTTCCTCAACTGGCAGCGGTTCCCCACCTTGTCAAAGAGGGATGAACAGCTGACAGGGGTGTGGAGCAGAGCGGAGGGTGTGTTTGCCTGGGGCTTTGTGGGTGAGGGAGGCAAGCCCTGGCATTCAGTCCTGGGATTACCAGGATCCCAAGTCTTTTACTCTTAGCCCCAAACCTGGTGTGTGGT